CGAGCCCAGCTGTAATGTGGGGGTGATGCTTCCCTGCCCCCCAGGGGACAAATGCACGGCGGAGTGTGGGGCTCGGCTACTGCAAGGATGGGGGCCCTGACAGTGGGGAGCTGGAAAAGTGCAGTGCTACAATGTGTGTGTGTGTGTGGGGGGGGGCTGCTTCTGTCTCTCTAGGCACCTAGAGAGCCCCCCCCCCCTCAATCCAGGTACGCCATAGGCCTGTGCACGGGGCCCCAACTCATGGTGACATCAGACACTCAGCTTTCATTGAACAAGTGTAGTAGGCAGAGACATGAGCCCTTGTATCAGCGGCCGGGTAGGAGGCAGAACCTGCTCACAGACGCTGGAAGAACAGGGCTGATATTGCAGAAATACACATTCCTAAGACGTGCTAGGCACAGAGCGCTCAGGCCAGAACATCCGGATAGCGTGGCTGGTGCAGACACAGTCCCCAAGGGTAACAGGAACGCACTGACCCCTCCTAAAAGAGCAGGTCAGGATGACAGAACGTAAGGGAGATGTTTTAATCGAACCACCCTGTACACTGGCGACCTCGGGGCAGTAACTAACTATGTAAGGGGGCAGAACTAACGTGTTTATATCGGGGTCTAAAGAGGTATCTCAGAGGGGGTGTCTTTGTCCAGCTGAGGGGGGAATGGAAAGTCCCACCACGGATTGAGCTGGTCCATTGTCACGGGCGTACGCATAGTCTCCTCTTAGAGTCTGCCAGGTGCGATTGCCGTGCGCCGTCACGAATAAACCTGGCCGGGCACCTTCGCTGGAAACCAAGTCTGTGGATTTATTGGGCAGTTTAATTGAGGTCTGCTGTCTCCGTGACCTGCGCAGAGCAGGGCCAGCGCGCTGAATGAACACACACAGCCAACGTCTGACCACACTGGTGACCCCGACCGCTGATCTGGTAAGTCAGCGAGCTGTCCTCTGTAGGACTCGCGATCTAACATCATCCACAACAAGTATGTATGTTTCCATCCTTTATGGGTCAGGGTCTGGGCAGCGCCCGGCACGACGGGGCCCCGATCTCGGCTGGGGTCTGGGCAGCGCCCGGCGCGACGGGGCCCCAATCTCGGCCGGGGTCTGGGCAGCGCCCGGCGCGACGGGGCCCTGATCTTGGCTGGGGTCTGGGCAGCGCCCGGCGCGACGGGG